ATTCAGATCTGGTTATTTGTTCTTATTAACCCAAATAAGCACAGATTAATATGTATAAACAAAGGATAGACAATGTTTTCGCAGCCGCTTAGCCAAGAACAACTGCGAATAAAGAAAATAATAGATCCTATTTGTTTATTTGGTTGGTAACCACATGTAATGTAGTATAAGAGTCGGAACAAAGTTTTTTGTTAGAAAATATTTAAAACTCAAGGTTAAAGTAGATAAATCATTGAAGCTTAATAATATTAATCCCGGAGTAAATTGTCTTATTTGACGTCAATGTATTAAAAAAAAATATATAATAATGAAAGCGACCTAAATTTCGTTCACAACCGTTACCAGGTACACGTATATAACTAGATAAGTAAAGAAATAAAAATAAATCAGTGGCGCTACAACCTTTTTAGGTCTGGGCCTCAGATTTCTGTATCTGTTTCATGATCATTTGTCAATCTAAGTATCAACCTCCTGGATCTAAGGCAAGGTTTCCTCACGATGTTTATCTTCACCGTTCGAGCGAATGCTCATTGCGCACATAGAAAGAAAATCCATTGGTGAACAGCCTGGGATCGAACCTACGACCTCAGGGACGCTGAATCCACTAGGCTAAAACTACTCAACCAGATTAGTAACTAAAAAAAACTGTCTTAAAAACCATAGATAATAACAATTTGACTATTCGACTATATGTATTTCGTAAGACTGACTCAGTTTATGACAAGGTCACGAGATCAATCCAAAGATAAACTTCGTGTACGCTTAAACTAAGCACCCATTCCACATTTTTGGAACGCTTATTTCCATCTTGTTTTGTAAACTTTATCGCCTTATAAACCGTTTCTATAAATTTCTAATTTTATCACCTGTTACCAATTTGAATGTGATTGTTTGAAATAGCTTTCGGCTTAGTATACGTTGCAGACTATATTATGTTTATACAAAGACGTACATTTGTATATATTATATAACTGTATTAAAAAAAACTCTGGCACTACAACCCTTGCTCTTGACGGAGATTTCTGTTTCGTGATTATTTCTATGCAAGTGTGTGACACACGCCATTTTGACTTTTTGTTACCGTAACGTACGAGTGATAAATGCACAGCCGGGGTTCGAATCTACGACGTCTGAACTGGTTTAAATACTCCTGTTTTTTTAATAAAAGCCTGATATCGATCAAGGCAAAGAATAGATTTTTAGCACACTCTCTTGACACGACTCTTTCATTTATTTCTGTAAATTACGCAGTGATGTAAAGAGACAGATAAATGATTTATGAAACTGTTTTTTTTTAAGTTTAGCCTTTAAAGCTAATGTAGTTTTGCAAATGTAATACATACTAGAATAGCTAGATATTAGTACGGGAGGTAGCAACGTTTGAAAAGAAAGAATTTTAGGTCAGCTGATTTTGTGATATGTCTTCCTTCTTGCACTTTCGGTTAGAGTCTTGGCAATCTGGCTGGCGGTAGCGGTTGCGTTCTTTAGTGCGCATCCTATCTGTCCAGGTAATATCCTGGATTTTAAAAGCATTTTAAGAAGCGTAATTTTTAATTTTTCGTTTTTAAATAAGTCTACCTGACATACTTTTTTTATTGCCAGACATTTTTCACATTGCTAACTATGTGCCAGACGCGATTTTAAGTTTTTTTTATAAAAATTTCAAAGTATTTTAGAATGTCTGTAATTTTAATATTATGATTATTTAAATATAAGAAAAACTAAAAATGAATTTGCCAGATATTAAGTCGATTATTAAGTCTTGAATTAAAACGAAAAAGTATTGCAGTATGATGAAGCATTGCATTTTAAGAAGCGTTATTTTTAATTTTTTTTTTTTGTTCAGAATCAGAACAGCGTACCTATAACAACTTCTGTGTAAAAATCGATTTGGCAAATATGAAAAAGAATCCTAGAATCAGATTCTTCGTGTTCTTCACACGATAATGATTCTTCAATAGTTTTAATTACTTACTTAGTTATTTATCACTTTGTATGAATAACATTTATTGAAACTTACGTAAATGTTTTTATTACCAATGAAAGGCATCATACTGAAATAATTTTTCGTTTTAATTCAAGACTTAACAATCGAATTAATGTCTGGCAAATTCATTTTTAGTTTTTCTTATATTTAAATAACATAATATTAAAATTAAAGACATTCTTAAATACTTTAAAATTTTTATAAAAAAAAAACTTAAAATCGCGTCTGGCACATAGTTAGCAATGTGAAAAATATCTGGCAATAAAAAAAGTATGTCAGGTAGACTTATTTAAAAAGGAAAAATCAAAAATTACGCTTCTTAAAATGCAATGCTTCATCATACTGCAATACTTTTTCGTTTTAATTCAAGACTTAACAATCGAATTAATGTCTGGCAAATTCATTTTTAGATTTTCTTATATTTAAATAACATAATATTAAAATTACAGACATTCTAAAATACTTTGAAACTTTATAAAAAAGAAACTTAAAATCGCGTCTGGCACATAGTTAGCAATGTGAAAAATGTCTCGCAATAAAAAAAAGTATGTCAGGACTCAGGTAGACTTATTTAAAAACGAAAAATTAAAAATTACGCTTCTTAGAATGCTTTTAAAATCCAGTATATTGGCTGGACAGATAGGATGCGCACTAAAGAACGCAACCACTACCGCCAGCCAGATTGCCCAGACTCTAACCGAAAGTGCAAGAAGGAAGACATATCACAAAATCAGCTGACCTGAAATTCTTTCTCGAAAACGTTGCTACCTCCCGTACTATATGTACATACATATGTGTAAGGTTTATCTGATACTTCAAAAGTCAAAAATCATTTAATCATATAGGTAACATAATGTACACTTATGAATCGTCAAGCTTAGGAGTCTAGGAGTTCAGCCCTGCGATTCTGTAACTCACTTTTCGAACTCACACAGCGGTTTTCGCATCGGCGGTCGCTCTCAAATCAGTCGTGAAGCAGTCATTTTATGATTTGGCATTCTAATAATCAATAAACTACAAGCTCCCACCTTTTCAGAATGCCAAATCATAAAATGACTGCTTCACGACTGATTTGAGAGCGACCGTCGATGCGAAATCCGCTGTGTGAGTTCGAAAAGTGAGTTACAGAATCGCAGGGCAGGCAACTCTCATTCGAATTCAAAAATGGTGATTATAACAACATAAACACTACTTATCCAGAGCTATTTCGGAGAGATTCAGTAGTGGACAGATTAAATTTAAAAAAATTTGTTAGGTGCCTATCTCTCACCTAAGTTATTTCTTATTGTTAAGTATTGTTAATTTTAGTAAAATTTAAAATTGAAAGTTTTTATTTGTATTTACTTTTAATTGTCATTGTCATGTCATGTATTTTACTTTAATAAATAAACAAATGAAAACATATTGTATATACGCAACTACAATTGTATTTCTATATCTGAATTTCAATCGGTCACAAATTGTTAGTATTTCTGTCTGTATTCGTAAAATATCGTATTGCTCATTTTACGATTTCGTGCCGGTCACGTATCGTGTAAATGATACTTGTCAAATTGTGTACAGCTGAGACGGATATGCGCTCAGGTAGGGCTGTCATTATTACTTTTTAGTAAACCTTTGTTAGTGAATTTGCCTACTCAAATATTACTAAGACATTATACGTTATGAAATTTTGTTTGTTTAATGTCAATCCTTGTTCGAGAATCTTATAATCTTATTTATACAAACTAGTAAAAATTTATTCTAATTTATATTTAAACAAAAAACTTTTTATTAAATTGTATTAAAAACAGTTACACGATGTTTACCTTTTCCTAATGGTGACGATCAGAGTTCATTTATAAAAACAACTCAATCAAAAGAACCTAAATAAAAAGTCCGTGTTGACGAGTGACAACCCTATTATTTCTATAACCGTCTTCCCAAATTGAAACTCTAGACGGTCCACTTTGATAGACGCGGACTACTATACAACTTTTTGTCTGTTTATAATTAAATCAGATAGCTATCAGATTTGATTAAATTTAATTCGAACAAAAATCTGTCGACTGAACAATATAATCATGTCTTTAGAAATTAATTAAACAATATTTAAGACGTGCGAGTACAGGTTGTGTGTGTTTTTACGCGTTGACATCGTCTTTTTCTTGGTATATTTAGTGGAACTTCATTACAAACAGTTAATAATATATGTAAAGAAAGAAATGGCATTTTATTTAATAGCATATTCAGAGTTATTAGTCTGTGGAAAGAGGCGATTTTGGCTTGTCATTTGACTTTTTGTTAGAACATTTTCGGATCTTAATTAGGTTAAAATAATTGTTTTGAAGAATTTTATGAAATAATAAACTCTAATTCCACTGATATATCATAACCTAAAATTAAAAATAAATATGTCATAAACAAAATTTGAACTATGTGTATATCAGTTGTATATTTACTATATATATTTGTCGAACGTCAACAAAATACAATAAAATAATATTCTAAAATGAAATATCATACAAAATACATTAAGCAACGGCCGATAGTTAAAAATGAATTTAATGATTTTTTTTAAACTTTTGGTCTATTATTTACACACGCTAAACACATTTTTTTCGGCTTCGATTTCGATATACCGAAAGTCGAATTATCTTCATTCCCCCACTCTCATATCGTCTCAAGTTTATTTTTAATCTCCAACAGTTCTGCCCTGCGATTCAACCACTCACGAACCACACACGGTTTCCTCGCGGTCCCCAAATCAGTCGTGAAGCAGCATTTAGTGGCTTCTGAAAAGGTGGGGCTTGGTTTTTGTTTAGCTGAATGCCAAATCATAAAATGACTGCTCCGCTGTTTGAGAGCGACCGCCGTGCGAAACCGCGCGTGGTCGTGAGTGGTTCAGAATCGCGGGAGTCACTGAACTTCCGACAGAATCGATTTATTTGAAAACATATCGATTACATTATAATTGTATTTTTGGACAGAAATTTAGGTCAACTCGATTTATAAACGTCAATTTAATGGACGGATGTTGTTGGGATATTTGTTTGACTCTGCAATGGCGTTAAGTGACACCTCTGGTTCAGCGGATGAGAGGTTTTCAGGTGTAAGTGATTGTTTTAAGTGCTGCATTCTGCAAAAACAATGAATTATATTTTAAATAATGTACTAGAATATTAAGTTTAAGGTGACTTTTAAAGCCTGCGGTTGTGCGTTCAAGCAACGGCCGGAACATGGCAAAATATTACAAATGGTATTGAAACCAACATGTCTTACTCGTATACCCAAAAACGATGTCGGTTAGGCACACTTATAATATCAATAGCCTACACACTTATTATATTAAAATATGACTTATGACTTGGAAGCAGTGTTGGCCTAGTGGCTTCAGCGTGTCATTCGCATCCCTGAGGTCGTAGGTTGGATCTCCGGTTGTGCGCCAATAGACTTTCTTTCCATGTGCGCATTTAAGATTCGCTTGAAAGGTGAAGGAGTACATCGTGAGGAAACCGGCATGCATGCCTTAGACCCAAAAAATCAACGGCGTGTGTCAGGCACAGGCTGATCACCTACTTACCTAGTAGGTCGATCAATCATGAAACAGAATCAGAAATCTGACGCCCAGATCTAAAAAAGATTGGAGCGCCACTGATTTTTTTTTAATCAAATGAATTAGTTGCTTCAAATTTGCAAGTGTCTGCAAAACCAAATCTATCAGCATACCAAACAATAATCGTAACAAGAAGTAGCCTATATCCTTTTTCATATACCTTCGTATCAAATTCGACTCAGTGACATATAACTTTTAACATTACCCACATACCAAGAATTTAACCGAGAACGTTTAACCAAAACTACTTTTACAATACAAAACACGAAATATGAAAAAGCAGTGCTAAAACGTTGTAAAGTTGTAGAAATTTGAAAGTTCGGTGCTATTTATTTGGCAAAGTTCGTAGCAAAACTTTCCGACCAAACAAACTTGCCAGTTCTCTGAATACACGTTACGCTCCGCGATTTTGAATTTTTAGCCCTCTATAGCGAGTAATTATTTAACGTTGCTTTAGAATTTAGAGAAAGAGAGAGGAAAAGTATTTAAATGTAAACTTTTAGTCACGTTCGTAGCTAATTTAAATTTGTATTTGTTCCCGAAGTGGTCTGTCCTGTGGCGCGAGCTAGTTATAAACAGCTGAGTTTTTTCAACAAAATATATTAATTTATTTTATTAATACTTCGTTGAGTCAGAAGGGTGCTTATTTCTGAGGTCGTAGGTTCAATCCCCAGCTGTGTACCAATAGGACTCTAACGGTGAAGGAAAACATCGTGAGGATACCGGCTCGCCTGCCCCAAAAATAGTCGGCTTATGTCAGGCACAGGAGGCTGATCACCTACTTGCCTATTAGATTGACAAATGATCATGAAACAGATACAGAAATCTGAAGTAATCCTAAAGACTTAGTGCCATTGATTTTTTTAAATGTTTTAATCCTTTAATATACAAGTGTTATTTGCGCATATAGAAAAAATACTGTACTACACGCGATATGTACGATGTCAAGACCACTAGAACGAAGAAAAAGATTGTATGCACCTGTTAACTTTGTGATTCCGCTAGGCATATTTTTTGCTAATAATATGATTTTAATTTTTTACAATTATGGCCGCTTCAATATTTTTCAATCGCTTTGTGAATGCATTTTGTTTATTAAAAGCTTGAATGATTTTCTAAAAGCCATGTGCTGGTGTTAGTAAAATAAAACCTTAATATTCGGTTCGCGACCGCACCCGCGATAGTGTTGGGATCATGTTATCGGCACAGGTTACATAAACGAGGCAGTAACTTCATTTTTTTTATTTATAAGCTTAATATTGCTATAAACGCTCTAATTCTATTAAAATAGGAAAGTTTTGTTAAAGTTCATATTAAACAATAACCAATAAATAATAAGCGATTTGTTATAAAATATTAAATTTTCATTTATCCAAAAAAAGCATTGTTTAGTGCCTATCTGATACCATATTCGGCTAATAGGTATATTTATGTATATTTTCTTTTATTTAATTTTTTGTAATATTTATGTTTACCATAATAGTCTTTATGTATGATGTGGTGAACTTTAATAAATAAATAATCAAATAAAGTTATCGAAAATTATAAAAATCATCTTCTCCTTATTTTAATTGTTTTCAATCATTAGTGGATTTTGAATTGTTATAGTTTATAATAACCAATACGATGACCATTAAGGTTCCATCTAACCTGTAGTTAAATCAATAAGTATTTATATGAATAAAAAGCACTACTTTGACGAAAAAAATGTATAAAGTTACATCTCTAGACCGCAATGCAGCCTCCATCAGCAGTGAGCGAATAACTTTATATCGCTTTATTTTACAATCGGACACTTTATATATTTTGTTTTCCATTTTGCTATGTTAAATATGCGTGATACACACAATTCTTTATGTGTTTTAAGAATTCATATTTTCTTCCATATTAGAATCTGAAGCGTTAAATTGAGTTTATAAATAGAACTATTTCTTACGGTTCACTGTGTGTATTATAATTTAATTTATAGGTACTTAAAGCTAGTCAAAGGGAAACATCAAGGTATATTTTAATAAAATTCTTTTAAGCGTTACACTCACTAAGAGCGATAGTCATGTTAAATTAGATTAGGGTCCATCGCTATCAATTAAAAGCAATGCTCATTCACACGCTATAAATTAACCGGCCGATTTAAACAATATAATAAGTAGTTCGGCTGGAGAGGAAGCCATCTATTCCATATTTTTTTCTCTTTTCTTTTTAAAATGAGAAAAGAGGATGGATAATGTTGAATAATGCGCGCGTCATACTTAATTAGCATTGGATCGTGTTAAGGGGCAGTTTAATCAAGCTTTATTTTATTCTGCGTAGGCAATAGACATTGAGATAATAGTTTTAAAACACTTTATTTAAGTATAAGATAAAGTTTAAGTTTGTTTTAAATGCTAACATTAAGTATTTACAGCTTTTTTAAAATTGAATTAAATAAAACTCGTTATTTTTGACTGAACTTTTCGAATCTTATTTCTATTGACAACACAATATTTTAAAATACTACTCTAAATTTAATCGTAAGAAACGTAATAAAAAACACATTTAGGGAGCTCTCATGTTTTTTCCCGAAGATATATTAGAACTATATATATGTATTATAAACAAAAAAATCCTCTACACCAGTAATTTTAGATATATAATACTGAAATGCGTTTAAGTGTCCCTAAACGTGCATACACAAACACGAAAATAATTGTTAAATTTATGAATAAAAAATTACTAAAAGAAGACAAAAAATAGTCGCCTTAACAAAAGCTCCTCACACGCAATAAGTCAAAGTGTTTGCGCGTCGTTTTCCCGAATCGTGCCTTAATTGAGTGCACATGCGCATATCTTAGATCTCTGATCGAAGATATTCAAACTCCGCCTCGTAATTGGCTGTTATTAATCTTTAGAGGGTTAACAGACCATGCCAGCATAATAGGATATAAATAAAAATTATTCGTTAAATTGTAGGTCACGCTTTTTACTAGGTTAATTGAGGGTCTCGTGGCTTAGTCGCGTAAAGAAAAGAGGTATTGGGTTCGATTCTAGCTCAGAGCGTAGCTTATTATAAAATTTGGCTATGAGAAAACGAACAAAAGCATTAAAGTATTTAGCAGTTTCCTCTATGGTTGAATGACTAAACAAACTCTGAGTTTTACTGCGCTAGCAAAAAAAATTTTAAGTCTTGAAATATTTCACAATATAAACGATGAGAGATTTATAATGTAAAACCAATGAATATGTGTATTATCAGCGATAAAACGAGCTCCAGTATGTTACGAATTTTAAATGAATTAACCAAACAATGTTTCGATAATAATATTAAATAAACAGTGCGGCCGAATTAAGTATCATGCTGTCGATTGACCGAAAAGCCTGAATCTGATGTCCAAGTTAAAGGCGGTAATCTCTTATCAGCTTGTCGACGTCCAGTGTTAAATATCACGTTCCTTCAGTAATATTCAAATATTATGAACTTACTGGTGGCACTTGACGTAAGCCCGAAGGTCGAAGGTCCTTATCGGTGAAATGTTTCGGGTAGAACCCTGGTAGCCATTTGACAATCTCAAACTCAACCCGTTGAGAAACACTGATGCGAAAAATAACCTTACATTTATTTATCTTACCAATATATAAGTGTGAATGTGTTCTTACCTGAAACAAGATATATTTATTAAAAATCTTTTCAATTAGATGATTATAAGAATGGCACTTTTTTTTTCTAGAAATACTTTCATTAAACATTAGTCATGGTAACTTCGTAAGTAAGAAGGTTCCTTATTCATGATTTGTTTTATTTCTATTTCGTTGATTTCTTTTTTAAAGCAAGTAAGTGATCAGCACAGCTCGGCGACCGCGAGGACTCCAGCGGCGGCGTTGGTCCAATGACCTGGAGCAGCTGGCCGGTGGCACATGGACTATGGCAAGCCCAAGCAAGGGAAGATTGGATGGAGTTGGAGGACGACTATGCATATCCTATGGGGGCCTATGGAGGCATATCATGGGGTTCTAAAAACTAGATTTAAAAATTTCTCCTATAATTATTTAAACATATTTTGTAACATTTTTAGAAATAAGGGGCTTTATTTATTATTAAATGATCAGTAAGTATGCCTTACCCATGCGAAATAATTGTTGGTACGTCATCAATTAATTAAGCTTAGGCAGACTTTAGTAATTAAAAAAATATAAGTAACCTTTTAAGCAGTCTAAAAAAACTACTACTGTTCATTACAGAAATACAAAGCAACATTTTTATCTATAAAATATATATACATACATTTTTTTTAATAAGCTTATAAACCGCACCATTTACACAAATTCATTCATTCACATTTATTAATAAGCCACAAAACGCGGATTAAAAACTGTCGCCACTAATTATTCGAGTACGGATCGCTAAGCCCCGAACAGAATTGGAATAATAAAATTGTATTTTAAATGCAGTGTTAATTAAGTTGGTTAAATTTTAATTGTACGACAAATCTATGATGCGGTAAACAATTCACTGCATTTTTATGATTGAAAATACTTTAGCAGATTTGTTTTAAATTAAAAACAGGCAATGTTTCAAATTGAGAGTGAAAAAGCAAGTACGATAGTTAGAGCGGTTTCATTCAAACGGCTTGCGTAAAAGTTGGACTGTGGGCGAATTACATACAAATCTTTATACAAAATTATATTATAAGAGAATCGTTTATATACACAGTTTTTAAAAATGAATTCTTAAGTTATAACTGAACTATAGACAAAATAAAACAGAATCTATACATTAAAAATAAAAAATCAGTGGCGCTACAACCTCTTTAGGTCTTGGCTTCAGATTTCTGAATATGTTTCGTAATGATTTTTAAATCTAATAGGCAAGAAGGTGGTCAGCCTCCAGTGCCAGACACACGCCGTCGACTTTTTGGGTCTAAGACATGCTGTTTGAACCACTTGATACGCGATCATAAACCACGATTCTGGAATCTACGTTTATGTGTGACGCGTCAATTAGTTTTATATTGCCATAAACTACTCTCTGTCGGTTTAAAGCACTCAACGTGTAATGCGTTTCGTGTACATTAGTGTACAGTCCGGCACGTAATTGCACACGTATTTAAATCACTTTTTTTAACTGCGTTTTCATTTGCGTCATTTGAAGCGTCGAGTCTCTCAAGTACAAATGTAACTAAAGATTTGAATAGTTTGTTTTTATAGTTAAACAGCTATTTTTAAGTTAATACATTAAAACTGTATATTATAATATGTGGAACGAACTGGGCGTTTTTTAAGACAGTTTTTGCCGCGAACCACTACTATGTAGAACCACAACCAACAGTTGCCCACTAAAGTATTTCCGAATCAATTTGACATAGGGTCCTTCAAGTAAAGAGCGTACCAATTTTTAAAAGGCTGTCAACGCACTCGCAAGCTCTCTGGAATTGAGAGTGTCCATGGGCATGGCAGCCATGGTGAGCCACCTGCCAGTTTGTGTTCTATAAAAAAAATCTTACAAAATGTAATTTGTGTTCGACTGTACATTTTTCCAGAAGATTTACTAAAGTCGTTAAAAAATTAATAAAATTACCAATTGAAGAAGGTGCTTGTTAGTGCACGAGTGTCCAACATTTTATTATAATGTCTTCATTTGAAGATGTTGTAACAGAATTAATATATGAAAGTATGTTGTAAGTGATTTTAAATAATCTTTACATATATCGAAGATCAATTTTAAAGAACAGAACAAGTTTAAATATGTTTTGACTTGGTAATTCAACAAGGCAGCAACGGCTTTTGGAGTTATATTTATAAACTTGTTTTGATCTGAGGAAAATATCCAAGAAACTTTTTAGGGATATCTTTTTATTCAAAAATAATATATGGGTATATATATTTTGATGTAATAGAAGGCAAACGGGCAGGAGGCTCACCTGATGTTAAGTGTAACCGACAAAAACTATCTTAAAAAACCCTCAGTTGTGGAACGACGGACGTCGAGGTGATACGGTGGAATTTCGTATTCTGCCTCGACGTCCGATGGTAAAACTCAGCTGCAGGTAATCCGAACAACTTTATTATCAATTACTACATTCATAAATAATATATATTTTGGTCACTTAATGTACCAAGTTACCAAACAATATATTAGCAGCTTTATAGAAATGTCCCATTAGAGAAAACACGGTTAATTTAATAAAGGCCCGTCCACGTTAAACTTATTACAGAAAGAAATTCGTTTTCTTTGGCGTTGTAGGAGGTCCGTTTTAATTTGTCCCTTATAAAATTCGTTAGAGAACAAACAAGTAATCTGTCATACTGCCGTAATTAGGAAAAGAATCCTGATAAATAGTCTTAATTAAACAACAGACTAGCTCTGGCATAACCTGGATACACTTTTGTGCTTACAAAAGAAAAAAATTATGTTTGTGGTTAAGTTACGAGTTAAAGTATTAATTTTTATTTTTGTTTCGTGATGGTAATGTTTTTAGACTCTTAAAATCATGCTCTTTTTGGAATCCATACAATTTAAATTGCAATTTGTCAAAAGAGAAGAAAAAAGATATAAAAACATTGTGATTTATGATGAGTTTTCTCAGTATATGAACTTCATGTGTAGTTCCAACTAAAGATATTACCTATAGCTATTTTGTTTAGTGTATTATATGTTATCTTATCAAAGAAAAAACGAATCGAAAATTAACTGAGTTACAAGTTTCTGTTGTAAATTTCATATGCAAAATGCACGTCCAACAATTGCATATCATTTGCTGATTGCACAAAGCATCTGCTTCATATATATCAAGGCAAGGTAAATTTAAACATTTTACAAAAAATATCTTGGCTCATTTAGAGTAAAATCATCAATAAATACAATAATATAATGAAGCCGAAGTCTTTGTTTGCCTTGTATGAAAACCAGGAACAGTTAGTAAAGAAATATAAAATACACTCGGCGTCAGAAAAATGGATACTACGGGTTTTAGAAGCAACTCAAGAGGGGGCTCTACTGCAAACCGGACTACGGCACGTTGAAGTTGCTCGGCAACTGAACATCAGCCGATTTCGAGAGCAACGGGTATACCGACGGTTTCAAGAGACTGGAGGTTCAGGAGACATGGATCCGGGAGACATCGCTGCACTAGCGTCAGAGATGATCACTACATTGTGTCGACGTCTTTGCGGAACCGATTTTCCAACGCTGTGGAGCTGCAGCATGAGGATGAGGGTACTGGAAGGATTTTAGGAGTTATAATCGCTTGACACGAATTTTAGGAAAGGTGTGATTTTTTTGACGCCGTGTTAATAGAATGAAAATGGATTAATATTCGTATTAAATCTCAAAGGTTCTAAATGAATCGCTATTAATAAAATAAAAACTTTAAAATTCGAATTTGTTTATATCAATGAAAGTTTAAATCAGGCATCAAAATTATTCAAATTATTCAAAAACGGTTCAAAAAATACGTATGAAAAATATATTTTTAAGTTTTCTCAGTTAAATTGTTCGTAAGGTTTCCACAAACAAGGTCGCCTCATTCGGGACAATAAAGGCTTTGTCGAGGCCACTGATAACGGTATTCTCATTTCTCCTGTGAAGCCTTCATATTTTATCTGACGTTCTATGTCTTTTAGAGGAAATTATTTTTCATTATGTTAAACACCGTTTGCCACATAATGGAACAATTCATATAATTATTTGTTAATGTTTTTTAAAGATGAAATCTAAATATATAAAATAGATAGAGAATATTATGCATACACGATATATCCACTATTAAATTATAGTTTGTATTATAATGTTCCAATGACGAAAAGTAGTTTTTCACGGTTATCATGTTCTTTAAGTTATTTTAATAACTCGTCATTCATTGTAATTACAAAGCAAATTTGATGAAGCGTGTTCGTCATATTTTTACCAGAATCCTGGCACAAATTAGAAAGTAGTTGGGTTACAAAGAACGCGCCCGTAAAGCCGGCCCGCTCTTAGCGTTTATTTTTATTAGTTCTCTACAGAGCCGGAATGTAATATTCAAAGGAAATTATATTATTTTAATTTTTCTAGTAGAAAAAAATGTATATAATTATAATTATAATATTAATGTATATAATTGAATGAAAATAAACTTTTTGCTTGAAAAACCTTCTTATCTAATGGGTATTTAAGATAAAATTGTGACTAACAGTGTTGTACAAGTACACTAAATTCAGACATATTTGTTGTTTCGAAAAAAATTGTAATAACACTAATATCATCGAATATATTCGATGTTTATCCAGGTAATACATTAATTAAATAATTGTGGATAGCAATAATGTATCAGATGCGGCCTCTGACTCCACTCTCCATTAAAATTTCTGATGCAATTGGATAAGTGGATTATTCAAAGATCTAGTCGGTATACCAAAGGTTTCCTGTAAGTCAATCCGCTCGATATACTCATTTGCTCCTGACTCAGGGCCGAAAATTTAGTATATACATATATATGTAATTATATATACAAAGAAATATTCATATAATTGAATATACGGCATCGTTTTTCAGATTGACGGCTGCCCTGTCCCAACGTTTCATTATAACGAAGCAGAATTAAAAGGGCCAGCAATATCGTAGCAAGGGGCACTTCACTTGGATCTTACAGCTGAATTTATATTGAACCGAAATTTTAGTGGCCCACGAGGTAATAACGTCGTTAAGAAAGGCACAAAGTGCCGTCATCTGCATAAGTTATTGTAGCGTTTTTGTAACACTGAACTAATTTTTATATAGGACAAAGTTTATTAGGTTGTGAAAACGGTTTATAGATTTTTGCATAAAGTAAAATATTACGTGGAAATCTATCGTAGATTTGGTAGATATGGATTAAAGATTCATGCATCTAGATTTGATTAGACTAAATATTTGTTATTGGGTTTTCTTTTTTAAATAAAAATGTTGCTTTGCATTTTTAACATTGCTTTTTTAAAAGCGTCGAGTTGCTCGGATTAGTCTTATTATTGTATAAATAACTATTCTTGTTTAAATTTACATTTGTCT